AATCTGTGGTAATGTCTCCTAGATCTTAATATTGTAATTTAAAAAATGTATAACTGATACTGTGTAACAGGAAGAAAAGGTCTAAAAGAGCAGGGGAATTGGGAGGGGTAGGGGAAGGGAAAAAAGGTAAAGGAAAAAAATGGAAACAAGGTCTTTGCAAATAGGGAATGGTAGAGGGGGTAAAGGGAGGGCAACAGAAGGGGAAAAAAAATAAGAACCAAGATACTCATGTAATGTGCAAGATCCCAGTGATGAATGTAACTCTATTTTATACCTATAATGTACCAATAAAGTTAATGGGGAAAAAAAAATATGCCTATGCTTGGTTATCAGTTCTGTGGGTGAACAGGACACTCCTCCAATGTGGGACATTTTGGTATTTCTTAGATTTTACTGTTATCTTATTCTTAAGAACCTTATTGCGAAATACTTTATATAGAATTAAGTTTACGCATTTTAGCTGCACAGCTTGGTAAATGTGAGAAATATATGATGCTTCCAATCACCAGCACATCACATTCAAAATGTGTTTTCACTGCAAAAATTCTCCTTTTGCCTCTTTATAGGGATTACTGCCCTCCATTCTGCTCCCCTGTAACTGCCTGCTTTCTGTTGCTATACATTGCTCTTGCTATAATATTACACAAATGGACTCTTTTGTGACTGGCTCTGCCACTTGGCCTGTTATTGTGATTCAAGCTGTATTTCTTTCCTTTTATTATGGGGCGTCATTCCATGCACAGAGACACCACACATGTTCACTCCCTAGCTTACGCACATCTCAGTCAGTGACTTCTGTGTTTCTATTTATTTATTTATTTAAATTCCGTTGGTACATTTTAGGTATACAATATAATGACATTCATCGTTAGAAATTTGCACCTTTACGTAATCTCTCTTGGTTCTTATTTTTTTCCCCATTCCTCTGCCCTCCCTGTCATGTAAAAGTTCTTTTTAAAAGTTTAAATATGGGCCGGGGATTTAGCTCAGCGGTTTCGCTGCCTGCTGTGCAAGCACAAGGACCAGAGTTCAATCCCCGGTACAAAAAAAAAAAAAAAAGTTTAAATATGAAGTTATCTCAAGTATTAAAAAATAGATACAGTCATAGCCATAGAGTTATGGCTTCACAAAGTATGCATATATAGTTATATAAAGCCCAGGGGCTGGGAATATAGTACAGTGGTAGAGGGCTTGCCTCATATGCAAGCCCCAGGTTTCATCCCCAGTGATGCATAAAGTATGCTATGATGTTTGCAAACATGAATAAAATACCTACTCTGATCAAAAAAAAAAAAAAAAGATCAGAGAAGAAAGTAATAAAATTGATCCCCTCCCTCCTGTCTTCCTATCCCAGACCCATTTCTAGCCTTTCAAAGAAAGTAATAAAATTGATCCCCTCCCTCCTGTCTTCCTATCCCAGACCCATTTCTAGCCTTTCAAAGAACCAGTTCTTTAGTGGGGTGTTTTTTTGTTTGTTTTTTTTGGTACTGGGGATTGAACTCGGGACCTTGTGCTTGTGAGGCAGGCGCCGGAACCACTGAGCTAAATCCCTGGCCCCCAAAGAACCAATTCTGATTCATTGGTCCTTTGTATTTTGTGTGTGTATGTATCTCTATTTCATTAATTTCTACTCTGATCTTTATAATTTCTTTGCTTTTACTAGTTTCAGATTTGGATGGTTCATGTTTTCCTAGGACCTTATCACAAGATACTTTAAAGAATGTTGCACATTCTCCACCCAAACTCTTCATGTAGCTTCCAGGTTGTCCCCCAAAGCTAAATAGTTTAAAATAACCTACACTAATTTCTCTGAGACTGAAAAAGTAGAAAGTAGCAGAGTTGGGTTTCAAATCCAGGCCCTACTGGTGCTAATAGAAAATACACTAAAACTTCATTTTCTCAGTGGTCCATATATGTTTTTTAATTTATAAACCTTTTCTGGAAGTTTTTAAGGTTAATTCTACACCTAGAATTAGAAAAGCACTAAACCACATTGCCCAAGAAGTTCTGATTTCCCCAGCAGATCTCGGCAACCTGAAAGCGAGGCCCGTTAGAACTCTTCCTGGTGAGTTTCCACCTAGGGCCACTCCCTTGAAGTGGCTGCCTTGCTGGAGGAATCCCGGAGGGAGCCACTCTAGCGTGGACAGAGTGGCCCTGAGCAGCATGCTGGCCATCGATAACCTTTGTGTTGTAGTCGGATTATTGCAGATGGGATTTGGTTTTCAAAGAAAAGTTCATTTTCCTCTTCCCAAATGACTGCTTACGGTTTTCTTATTAGTTCAGAACTGTTTGAAGGAAGGAACGATGTCTCAGTCTTGGTAATTCCTGAATCCTTAGTAGTTTTTTAAAACCGTTCAACTGAATGATGGTGGCTTCTAGATTTATTCCCGTACTCTGACCATGAGAGGCAGTAAGCATGCCAGGTCACCAGGCAATAGGTGAAATGACTCTTATCATTTAGAAATCATCCTTAAAAACTTATTTTCCTATAAGAAAAATTTCTGAATTACCTTTTGACTTGTTAGGAAGCTGACATCAACTTTTATTCATTTCTATCATTTTCTGATTCAGTAAGTATTTATGACAACCCAATCAGATTTGCTCCATTAAAAAAGTAAATGAAATGCTAAGATTAAATGCACTAATCATTTTTATTGGATTCACAATGAAATCGCTAAATCTGTTGTCTTAGGAATATGTAGTGTTCAGTTTCTTCCTTGTGGCCTGTTTAATTACAAGAAATGACTTTGAAGTGTGGAAAGCTTTTGTTTTAATTTTTTTTATCTTACAGAAAACTTTTGTTTTAAAAATATTTTTCAGTATTCTGTACATACATTCTGCACATTAGTTGTTTGTCTGCTCTTAACAATAGCCTACTTGTTGAATTTCAGTTCTGTTGTGAGCATTCAGCACAAAGAATTCTGTAAATATGAGTTGTTGGTTGAGGCTGTAGCCCAGTAGTAGAGCACCTGCCTAGCATGCCTGAAGCCCTGGGTTAGTCCCCTACACAGGAAAAACACTTGACTCTGAAAGTCACATCCTTTTTGTTCTGATAGGTGTGTTAGAAGAAGCCAGATTTTTTGGAATAGACTCATTGATTGAACACCTAGAAGTGGCAATAAAGGTGAGGTTCTTTTATCTTGACCAGTATTGACCAGTATTATATTTAGTACAGATTTCTCCCAAAATGGCACACTAATTTTTTTATATCTTTTTCAAGAATTCTCAACCACCAGAGGACCATTCACCAATATCCCGAAAGGAATTTGTTCGATTTCTGTTAGCAACTCCAACTAAGTCAGAATTGCGTTGCCAGGTAATTAATGCAAACTTTTACACAACTTATTTGTATCAGCAAATCTGTGAGTAAAGGCTTTCATCCTTGTAGGGTTTTATTTATTTACAGTACTTTTATTTTTGCTTTGGTTTTCTTTTCATGCAAAATATAATTTAATTATGGGCCATAGCAGTGACTTAATTTTGAAACAGCCCAAAAGACGTGTAGTAGCCTTTTTTATTGTCTAACTGTGCTTCATGTAGCAGTTTTTGAATAGTATATGGAAACTGCAGCAATTCTAACAGTTAATATTTGCACAGTTGGCTATGTATGGCTAGTCAGTGGCAGATACTTTTATGTATTATAGTGCTTAAGACCCACCTTTTCTTAATAAACTGTCCGAATTATTGAAAGAAAATCTTTTAATCACAATGAGTTTTCACTGAACTAACATCAGGTATGTTATTAACAAGGTTTTCTCTTTAGAAATGTTGGCACATGAATGAAGGATAGGATAGTCAGTGTCCTAATGTACATGTAAAGTTTCCTTTATGTGGAACTCATTAAGAACAAACACTTCACGTATGTAAGTTCCGTTTGCTCATGTTTTATAAGAAACTCCAAGTCACTGAACTGCCAATTGCTTCTAAAACCCCATGATGGTGAGTTATAGTAATTAAATTTAATGCAAACAGATGGTTTAAACATTATGACAGTTTGTGCTTTTTAATTTCAGGGTTTAAACTTCAGTGGTGCTGATCTTTCCCGTTTGGACCTTCGATACATTAACTTCAAAATGGCCAATTTAAGCCGCTGCAACCTTGCACATGCAAATCTCTGCTGTGCAAATCTTGAACGAGCTGATCTTTCTGGATCAGTGCTGGATGTAAGGATAATTTTTGGTTATGAGAAAAATTAAAGTTTTAGGCTGTTAAGCAGTCTCAAAAAACCAGGAATTATATCTGTCTCTTAGAGGAGGTTTTATTTGAAAACAGATAATTTAGTATGTCAGTGATAAAACTGAAGGCTCCAAAAGTGAAATGGATTGAGTTTACAACTTTGATATCCTTTATTAAACATAGACCTGAAAGGTTTAGCAACTGATAAATGAAATCTTGAAATTGGATCTTGGTCTCCATATAGTATACTAAATTCATTAGAACTGGTATTTTCCTGCAAATTAAAAGCAAAAGTGTCATTTTGGACCTCAGTCTCATTTTTGGAATGGGAAAATGTGACTGCCCTAGAATGATTCATCAGAAATACTTTGAAATAAACGTATGCATCAGTCTGGATGTTAGCATCTAAGTGTTGCTCTTTCTCTCTCTCTAGATATAGATTAGATATAGATAGGTATAGATAGGTAAAGGTATAGGTGTGGATATAGGTATAAATACTTGTGTGTGTGTGTATATATATGTGTAAAGTCACGTATGTATGTGCATGTATGTATTTATGTAACAATTATCTGTATTAATTTGGGGTTAGAGAATATATGTAGTACCAATAACAACTTTTAAGTTCTTTAATGCCATGGCCTAAGTGAGTATGTCTTTGGAACTAACTACTCCTTGTACATGACAGTCATTTATTGAAATATTATAATTTTGGCTTTTTCCTTAGTTAGAGCCTGTTTTCCATGGTGCTTTGTTTCAGATGTAAAAAATCTGCCAGTACACAGTTTAGATACTGTCACTCTTTATTTTATTATATGATAAAAGGTCAAGTCAGCAAAAGAGACAAAAGATTAACAGCACAAAGAAAAAGTCTTAAGGACCTAGTCGGTCTCAAGTGAAATGTTGAAAGACAACTTGTTTTTTTGCTAAAGACAAAAAGAGATGAGACAAATAAGGTCATTTAGCACAACTGGTTTGCAGTTCTAATATTTAATTACAGTTTATGAACTGTGAACTTGAGCCATAATTTTCTTCTCTGTAAGCTAGGTCTTGTAATACTTAGTCTATCCATGTCGTGTAGCTGATATAAAGGCCAGAATAGATAATGAAAAAATTACTTTATCAACTGGGGTTACAGAGTGTAAGGTTAGTGACTACCGATGAAAATGGCTCCTATTGAAAAGTCACTGTCCAGCTGTCTAAGCTGTGAGAGTACAAACTAACTTCTCATTGCCCTTGGCATTCCAGGATGGCCACTGCCTAACAGCCATGCCCTGTACTGTCCACAAATACGGTGATGCTGATAAGCACTGTGCCACACAGGCCAGTCTCACTCGCCCACCACTCTCGCTGAACTGCTGCTCACCCAGTTTATAGCTTTGCTTCTTTCCCTCATGGCCTGCGGAACCTTTCCATAGGAATCCTCCTGCTGCTGTAAACCAGGATGGTCTCTGGCCGCCACTGTCCAGCAGCCCTTGTCCGTGTCTCACTATCCTTTCTGTCAGCGTGCTGTAGAGTGCTGCTACGCGCTCTGCTGCCATTAATGGCCTAGGCTCTGATGAGGTAATGCAGCTGTTCCCTCTCCATTGCGTTTTCCCACCCAAGACTCACAGAATGGTAAGAGCTTGTAGAATGGTAAGAAATGAAATGATTATTTAACATGACCTGGCCATTTTACAGACTGAGAAACTTAAGAGAACTGCCAAAGGCCAGAAGGTTAGTTTTTATGAGTTAGAACTGGAATCTAAAGTTTTCCTTTTTTGTGTGTGTAAAGGACTTTCATTTTAAAAATGCTAAGCATGGGCCTGGGATTTAGCTCAGTGGTTTCGCCGCCTGCTGCTCAAGCTCAATGACCCAAGTTCGATCCCTGGTACCAAAAATAAAAAATTTTTAAAAATAAAAAAATAAAAATGCTAAGCATTTACAAAAATAGACACAGTTGAATCCCCCTTGTACATAACCTGTTTTGTCTGAACTTTGCCACAGATTATTCTATCTGTATTTTTTTCTCTAACAATAAGGACCATTTTAAAAACATAATACTGGGGGGCCGGGGATTTAGCTCAGTAGTTCCACTGCCTGCCTCACAAGCTCAAGGTCCTGACTTCAATCCCTGGTACCGAAAAACCCAAAACACATAACACTGGAGAATGTAACTCAGTGGTAGAGTGCTTGCCTATACTCGCCCACCACCACAAAGGAACCCAAAATATACCATTATTATACTTTTTAAATCACAGTAAAATCTAACTGCTTTCATCAGAACATATTGTCTCTCTCGATAAAGTAAGATAAGTTCTCATAACTTTAATGTGAACTTTATTAGCAGAGTTCTAGAATCTTAACATTGGTGACCTCCTTTATCATTTGATGAATTGAGGGTGAAATGCTTTATGTAGTTGAAGTTAGAAAATCTCACTGCAATCTCTGATATATTTGCCTCTTTATGAGATTCCATGGTATATCCTAGCAAACTTTTGATATTTATCTTGTGCTTTACTTTGGAGCATTACAGAGAACCAGAGGCATTTATTTGCATATATCAACTTTCTGTCTTGTTCTTTTCTAAGTACGTAAAATCCAGTCATGCTTTATTACATTGGTCCTTGCAGGTCCTTACTGTCCTACCTGGCCAGTCAGAGCTACCTTATGTTAGGCACAAGCACAGGTGGGAGGAAGCAAGAGTTTCTCAGTCATCTGTGGTTGAAATGGTCTCTGTCTCTTAGCGGAACTGACTGTGGGCTGAATGAAACTGTACCTGTAAAACAAGGATTTTCTCCATAAGTGTGGGTAGCATATAACTTGATCAGCCTTAGGATTTTAGACAACTGCAATCATCATTCATAGTATGCCTTATAATTTTTTAAACACTTTTGCATTCAGCTTCCACTTTGATCATAGGAGAGCTTTCCATTGTAACTAATGGTTATCAAAGTTACAGACTTGATGGCATTAGATTAACAGTTTAAGTCTCAGACATTTTTTCTAATTTCGTACTCTCTGCTCTGCTTTTTTTGTGCATTGTGACATGGGTGCTTAGAGTTTACAGTGTGGGTAGCGATGGTTGGTACAGAAAGACTGTACAAGTAACTTGGTAATGTACTGTAGCAAAATGATGCCTTCAGTTCCCTGGCATTAGTATTCTGGCCTTGGAAATGAAAGTGTTTATAAAAATAGAAATAGGGTGTCATAGTTCTACTCCCCCAGCTTCTTTGTTCTAAACGCCTATATTTTATGCAAAGTAGATGTGCTGTTGTTAATTTAATACTTTCTTTTAAACAGTTCTGAAAGAATTGTTTCTATAAAATGTTCTCAGTTCTGTTTGGATTCCATTAAAATAGTCTTTATTGTAAATGAAAATAATTGATTACAAATGTGTTGAATTGAATCCTCTTTTTTGTAGTTTTTTCTTTTTACCCCAATTAGAACAAAATTATGAACCTTAAAATGAAGCCATTTTTCTTTGCAGTGTGCAAATCTCCAGGGAGTCAAGATGCTCTGTTCTAATGCAGAAGGTGCATCCCTGAAGCTGTGTAATTTTGAGGATCCTTCTGGTCTCAAAGCCAATTTAGAAGGTGAGAGTCTATTCTCTTACAGTGGGCCCTTGACTTACAAACTCAATTTGTTCTTGAGGGCTGGTTGTGACTCACATTGGTCAATTGAAGACTCAGGCTCTTCTACACAGCCTTCAGAGTCTCTGTCCTGTACACAGGCAGATCTCAGGGTCCTTGGAGAGACACTGGCCCAGGATTTCTCTGTTAACCCCACACAGGAAAGGATGTTCATGTTCCTTCGAGAACTCTTTAAGGGTTAAATCTGGATCTGATGGGCCAGGGATTTAGCTCAGTGGATCTTCAGCCTGCCTCACAAGTGCAAGGTCCCAAGTTCGATCCCTGGTACCAAAAAAAAATCTGGATATGAGACCATCTGTAAGCACTTTAGTTGTAAGTTAAAATTAAAATTCCAGTCATAACCCAAGTTGTTTATATGTCGAGCTGGTAGTAACTTGAGGGTCTGCTATGTACCTATTCTATGGTGAAAGCCAACCTTAAGTAAAAAGACCAGTAGAGTTATTGTTAAAACTAAAAAGTATTTGTAGAGTTTGTAAAGGGGTAAATGTTTCCTTGATCTCGGTCATATGCTAATCAAAATTGAGGACACAGGAAATAAAGCCTTGAATATTTAATGATACTGTAGTTGGAGAAATAAGTATCAACGTCTTAACCATAGTAAAATATCCTCATACTCACCAAAAGGAAATTACAGTTTGCACAAAGTAGTTTGTCATTTTTAGTTTTAATAATTCATTATTGCTTTGTTGTGTTTGTGAATTGGGCACTTTGTTTACTTGTGTACTTAGGAGATATTGTATTTATCCTCTTGTCATAAGCCTGTGGTGGCAGGCATATTGTAAAAGTGCTAATTATCATGAGACAGAATTTATGTCTCCCTCAAAAGTATTCATAATACCAGCACTCAGGAGGCCAAGGCAGCCTGGGCTACACAGTGTGTTCAAGGCCAGCCTAGACTGCAAAGCAAAAAACATACAAAAAAGTATTGGCTTCCGAACATCCAGATCAGCACTAAAGTACATTAATGTGGGTCATGTAGCTCGAGAAGGGGCACTATATAATGGCTCCGATGAAGAGTATGAGTGTCCCATTTTAGATGAAGAAAAAGTAGTTGATGAGTTAGAGAACCACAGGGCAGAAGGTGGAGTTATTGTAGACTACCATGGTTGTGATTTCTTTCCTGAACGATGGTTTCATGCAGTTTTTGTGTTGAGAACAGATAACAGCGTATTGTACAAAAGACTTGAAACAAGGGGTTATGAGAAGAAACTAGGAGACAAGATCGAGTGTGAGATTTTTCAAGTTCTTTATGAAAAGGCCATGTTACCATATAAGGAAGATATTGTGCACCAGCTGCCCAGCAATACGCCTGAAGAGCTAGAGGTCAACAGAAACCAGATCTTGAGATGGACTGAGCAGTGGGTCAAAGCTCACAGCCTGTGCCTGGTCAGTGGGTGGTGTCTCTCTGCCCACCTTGTAGACACGGGCTCCAGGTGTCTGTAAAAACCAAAACTGTGTGGAGGCCCAGCAGGTATTTTTATGCCTGGGTTTCTTTTTCTCCATGAGAATGTTAAACAATCACAAATATAATGAATACAATTATTATAAAGCATTTAACATACGCATCAGTTGCCAAACAATAAATCTGATCAAATGGGTAAAGAAAAAGTGTCAATGAAACTATTAATTTGTACCATAAGTAAACAAATTTCCAACATTGAAATTTTGGGTTCATTTCCAAAAACTAGCAGGCCTTCATCACCTCCATTAAGTCATCTTGCAGTTTTGTTGACAGTTGATAGCTCTTTTTAAATTAATCTGCTCTTAAAATATGTTCACCATAGGTGCTAATCTGAAAGGTGTGGATATGGAAGGAAGTCAGATGACAGGAATTAACCTGAGAGTTGCTACGTTAAAAAATGCAAAGTTGAAGAACTGTAACCTCAGAGGAGCGACTCTGGCCGGAACCGACTTAGAGGTGAGTTCACTGTTGAGAGAACTTCAGTTAATGTAAGATATCATGCAGAATTCATGCAAATCATAAGCAAAGTCGTCAGCTGGTGAAACTGCCAGATGACGTGCCAGCACGGGAGGAGAGGTTTCTCCCTTTCAGCTGCTTGGTCAGAGCAGTACTGGCTCCAGAGCGGGAGCCCGGGAGCTGTCGTCTGAGGCCCGGAAGCCAGCTCTGGATGTAAACACTCATCTAACCTTCAGTCTGGGCTGATTTTATTTCTCTCCTTTTTGGTGGGTTTTTCTCAAATAGACAACTTGGTTAGAGACTTTATTAATCTGATTTATTGTGTTTTTTGTAAATTTTAATTTCAGAGAATTCAGTGAGCCAGATTATTTCTTGTACTACCTGAGAAATCTAAATGGCATACAGCAGTGAAATCAGGTTGAGGAAAAGCCTATTTTAAAATTCCATCGTACTCTTTTTGGATCTCACTTTGAGATTTTAATTTTGTGCAGTCATCTTTTTCTTAAGAATTGTACTACACTCTATATCTTCTTGATTTGCATGTTTAGCTAGCAGATTCCACAACAGTTACAGCTGTCGATATCTCGCTGCTCTCCAGCCAAACTCCTGCCGCGGTGCACGTGTTCTCTCTCTGTGCTCCTCAACGCAGTAGCTGACAGGCCACACAGAGCTACCGACCACTTGAGCCGTATCTAGTACAGCTGAAAAATTGATTTTTAAAATTTATTTACTTCTAATTCATTTAAATACCCACATGTGGCTGGTGGCTATCATATTGAATGATATAGTTTTGTGTAAAATATCCGGCACAGATAGGATTAGAGAAGACAGTATTTGAAAATTTAGCTTGCTGTTGGTATTTTCAGAAATATTTTTGCCTTGATCTTCTGATAGGGCTCAGGAACAGAGTAGCAGACCCTTTTAAACTTTAAGGCAAAAAAAACAGGCCTGAGGCCAACAGTGTAATCCTAGAATGAGCAAAATTATTTATTTTTTGTTAGTGTTAGCCAAGAGCATAAGTTTTCCTTGGTTTTGGTTACCACGTAGTCATTGTACTGAGACCAGCAAAAGCCTTCCTCCTTCCTGCTCAATGCCGAGACTGATCCAGCTGACCATTAAGGGCCAGGTGCTGACATTTGGCTTCTTAAAAGGTTGCATGTACTCACCCCTCTCTTAACTGTGGACCCTACCATCCCCAGGAACTTAACAAGAATTTCTCTTTCATCTGTCATCCCTCTGTGATCTTGAGAGAAATTCACAGCTCCCAGTTGTGACCGTGCCAGTGCATACATCTACCAAAACTCGTTGAATTGTACACATAAATTTGGGGCTAAAAAATAAAAGGCAGTTAGTTCCCTGCTGTAAAAATGTTAGGGCTGCAGAATAGCAAAGTCTACTACACTAATTATTAAGTAAAATCTCAGATTTTTAAAAAATTGTCTTTTCCCATCTCCTGCCTTTTGAATTATAATGAGAATAGTTACCACATTGGAATCCATCCTGGATTTTAATTGCCTGTTTGTAAAATCGAAGAAGAACAGGGACATGCTTCACTTTAACCTTTGTTTACACATTTGTGGTAGAAGAAAATCTGACTTTGACATATGTAGACAGAGTGTTCTGAAAATTGTTTCTTTGTACATGAACATTGTCCATTAGCCCAGAAATCATTTTGCAAGGAAACATCTAAGGTCCTCAATCTCCATGCGTTATATGAGTTTTGTTTTGTCTTACAGAACTGTGATTTATCTGGTTGTGACCTTCAGGAAGCCAACCTGAGAGGTTCCAATGTGAAGGGGGCCATATTTGAAGAGATGCTGACGCCACTACATATGTCACAGAGTGTCAGATGAGCGCTTCAGAGAGGAAGATGTCCGAGATGAAAAATGTTCTCCTTATCATCTTGTTTCTCCACCCACTCAGTTGTCTAGAAGATATAACACTGTAAGGGAGTTTTAAAAATATTTAGAGGATTATGATTGTTCTCAACGGTGCATAGGGGAAAAAAATTGAAATTTTCCCACAGAAAATGTAAAAGAAAAGCACTCATTTAATAGATGTAGGAAAAGTAGATTATATTGCTGCCTTTTGAATGGGGTAAGGGGATTTGCCTGGTTTTGTGACCGGGAATAGTATCTATTATATATGCTTTTAAATAGGCATGATATGGAAATACCATCTTGGTTTCAGATGCAATTGAGAATTTTAATTTATGAAAAGCACAAAATATGCAACTATATTTATTGAATATCTAGATGCAGTATGGATATTTAAATCGATAAACTTTATGAAACTTTGAAAAGATTGTTCAGGTTCATAGATAGCTTTAGTGATGCCTCCACTCTTTAAATATCTGTTGCTACATATGACTATGGTGAGGTCAGATTCCCTAAGGTTCTCTATTCAGGTTCATTTTTATGTTTACTTTTTACAACAAAACAGTAACTGAGTTTAAGAAATAACCCTCTCTCATTAATTGAGACAGAGTGGGAAAAAAAAATCATTGTACATTATGATGATACTGAAGGTACATTGGAACACTCTAGATGAACAGAAAATTTTCCTGTAGCTACAACTATTAAATGAACATTTGTCAGAATTTCATTCTAGGCAAGTTCCTCTCAACACCAGACCAGGCAGTTTTTTCTGTCTACACTGCGAGTCTAGTTTTCTCATATACAGTCAACATAAGCACAGGAAGATACTTCAAAACCACAAACCCAAAGTGCATCATTAATATTCATTTAATTCAAACGGCAAATGGCTTAAACCTGGCCAGCTTAGAAATAGGCATTAAATCCAAATCCACTACAGTAAAAGCCACATGAGTAAGCATGGCAAAGTCACCTTTTAGAAGGTGACATAATTGCAGCTCAAACCCTACAGTGGAAAATGTGGAATTTTAAATTGACATCATGATTATAACCACAAAATATGAATAAATTTGGCTGGTCTGATTTGTAATACCAGTTAGCACCTGTGGTTCTTTTACTTGTCTTTTTTGTTGGTTTTTGTCAAATTTAGCCCAACTTCCGTGAGTCGCTGTCTCCATAGCAGCAGAGATAGGGCCTTTACTTCTCTACCTATATCCCAGTGTCTTCATGTCCACCCCTAGAGCAGGGGCGTAAGCTGCGTCCAGACAGCTCTGAATCCTACAGACTCATCAGTTTGAGGCAGTGAATCACTGAAAACCACTTTTGTCTCCTCTGGGAGAATGCTGTATCTCCAGTATTTCTGTAGCTTCTTCTATATCTACATATGCAAAGCTTTCCTTAACAGTGAAGGGCACTTATGCACAGTGGGAGGGGAGTGGACCTTTACAGGTGAAGGAAAGCAACTTTAGAAATGAATTATTTTCTTTGCTTTATTATTTTTACCAAGACAAAGAAGTATTGTATTGAAAGATATCTATTTTCATAATCAATATGTGCCTAAATTATATTTAAATCATTTCACTCTGTACTATATTTTCAATAATTATAGAATGTGTTGTTCATTCACTGAAGGGTACCTCTGTAGACAAATCTAAAATTGCAGAAGGATCTGAAAGCTCTTAACATGGTGTACTTAGAAACTGCAGGTTTTGGATCTAAGGTATACTGCATTAATAAATACTATGAAATGTTGAAAAGATGTTCCTTCTCTTGATTTTGAAAATCAGCACTTTCTGTGTTTTCCTTACATTTCTTCAATATGGGTTGACGACCAGGGTCTGGGTGAAAAATGAAACGTAGCATAACATTTCTTATGGATTAGTTGCTTTAAAGGTGCCATCAAAGTACAGTGGACCCTCTAGTTATGACTGGAATTTTAGTTTTAACTTATGACCAAAGTCTTGAGTTGCCATCTGAAAGCTGGCCACTTGTGCTTCCAAATGGTCTCAGATAAGATATAATCCCTAGAGTCCTGGAAGGAACATTACAGCATGCTTTCCTGTGTGAGGTTAATTGAGAGATCCTGGGCCAGTGTCTCTCCGAGGGCACTGAGATCTGCCTGGAAGAAAATGTGGCCTAAAATTACACAGGAGAGAAACTGAAGGCTGTGTGGAGGAGCCTGAGGCTTCAATTGACCAACTGGAGTTACAACCAATTGAGTTGAACCATTTGAATTTGTAAGTCAAGGGTCCACTGTAAGCTCATTTCTTCAAACAAGATTCATTTATGATCTTTTCAAAATCATCATAAGAAAAAACTATTCATTCTGATAAAAGACTGCCTTGTAGTAATTTGTATTGATCTTTAGCTGACGAACGTTACTAGTTAGCTTTATTACACTGAATGAATAGTATATCCCACAAACATTTCTTTGCCTGACAACTGTGTAAGAGAGAGACTTCTGAGGGGAAAAGTTTCAAAGTAGTAAAACTTTGATTAGCCCTAATTACAAAACATGTTTTCTATACACAGAGTTGATGGGGGAAGGTTAGGGAAAAGTTTTAAATCTAAGTTGGTTAGATTATAGTGTTCTAAAGCAACATATGTTATGCTTTAGTGTAGTCTAGTTCCTTCAAGTAGTTTCCAGGAAAACTTGGTAGGAAATAGACAGTCTCACCCCACCCCCACAGCACCCCTGGGTTTGAACCCAGGGCCTCACACATGCCAGGCAAGTGCTCTACCACTGAGCTACCTCGAGAGCCTTTTTTAAAATTTGAGACAGAGTCTCATTAGGTTGCCCAGGCTGGCCTCTTAATTTTCAATCTGTCTTCCTCAGCCCACAAGTAGCTGGGATTATAGGTGGGCACCACCATGCCCAACAAAGTCATTTTTCTTATGAAGATTTCCATTATAAATCAAGACAGTGTTCTCTCCATTTCATTTATGAATCTGTTGTTTATACTGTAAATCTGTCCTCAAGTCAACTTTAGTCATCTTTAATATGTGAAAAGCCCTAAAATTTTGTAAAATCCCTAAGGAAGTAGTACTCTATTTAAAATTTAAAGGTTCATGACTATGAAGAAAAATGGTTGCATTATTTTAGTTTGAAGTACCTTATCCGCGGATTAATTCTCTGAGAGACCATTTTACAGCCTGATGACAGTTGTCAGCCACAATTCACCTTGAGTTCTTCCTGCTGAGATTGTACATTAGGGCAAAAAAGATTTTTGCATCTGTCATTCTACAAGATTATGAAGCCATTATTGTAATAATTTTGAGGTGTTTTAGTGTTGAGAATGAAGCAGTTTTCCCTCTGAAGCCATTCTAACAAATTTAGGGGAAAAAATATGACGACTATAAAATCCAAATACTTAAAGCTCATTTATTCAACTTTTTTGGTAGACTGGCCTAACCATGGAATTGTGAGAGTTCAAAGCGTGTCATTAAACATCAAAAACTCAAATGCATACTAGTTTGAAAAGGTGGGATAGTAAGATGAGAAATTTGGCTTTTGCCTTTGAAATCTGTGCAACCTAAGAGAAGAAAAATGCAGGCTTGAGGATGTGGATCGTCTTGAATAATTTCATAGGCCACATTGTTGGTTTATGTACCAAGTATTTTTTTCTAAAAATTTAATATAACTGATAGAAATGACCTACAAGAAACCCAGTGAGGCTCTCAGGAAGGAAGTGCGAGCTGACAACAGGGCTCACAAGTCTTAACTTCCATTTCATTTGTCTTAACCAAAAACCACATTTTCTTAAATGGCACTTAGAAGCACGTTTCTCAGCAAACAAAATCAATTGGGCAACTCAAACATTGTTTAACATTGTTCAAACAATTCTCACTGAAAAAAGCCTGGAAATGAAATCTGTCATTCGGTGTCTAAACACATCTGTCATTCAGCAAGATTGTGAAACCATTATTGTAATTTGAAGTTTTTCATTTTGAAATTCCCCACTATGTGCAATCACATGTTAAAGTATATCCCTTTCTCTATGCTATCGTGTGTGCTGCACAACCTCCTCAGAAATAGCTGGATAAACCAAGGAAATTTCCTGGGGGCAAGGTACTGTTGTTCTTTATTTGAAATCCTTGCAGGTGGAATTAGGTCAGAGGACACTGGGCAATGAGGAGACGTTGCCAGTCTCAGCTGTAAAATGAACTAATGTGTATTTTTAAACAATCTTCTGGCATAGCTAATGTAACAGCTTTTACAGCCTATAATACATAAAGGTATAATTCTATATCAGATAAAATGTATCCTTGAAGCAGAAATAGAAGAATTAGGCCTCATCTAGCTAAATGTTCCCTTCCATTCACTCACTGACATCATCCATTCATATTTATTGGATGCTGACTAAATACCAAGGGTTATTAACAGATGATTAAAAGGATAGAATCTTTGATTATCGTAGCCTACAGACCAGGAGAAAATTAAGGTAACACAATCGTGTATTCAAATAACTGTAATAAAGGGACCAGGGATTTAGCTCAGTGGTGCCGCTGCCTGCCTCGCAGGTGCAAGGTCCCAAGTTCGATCCCTGGTACCAAAAACAAAACAACAAATAAATGTAATAAAATACAGTAATAGTTTTATTTCTTTTTAAAATGCTTGTATAAATAACATGTCCACAGTCATGCCACTGAAGACATCTGTGGCATGCGGTGGAACGTCTAAGATCTGCATGACATAGTAGAGCTCAGTGGCACGCACCTGTTAGTCCAGTCCTAAGGAGACCAAGGTGAGAAGATGACTTGAGCTCAGGAGGTTGAGGCCAGCCTGGGCCAAAGAGCAAGGCCTCATCTTGCAGAAGCATGACATTTGGATGATACTAGGCACCTTGGAGGGAAGTTATAATGAATGAAGTTAGTCTTAGCCACAGGGACATGACTGTTAGTGCTCATCTTTGTGATTTGCATATTTTAATAAGCATTTACTGAAATAAATGGGTCTCTTAACCTAATTCTGTTCGATATGGTCTTTCATTTTCTTTTTTCTTACTTTTTTGATGCTATGGAAGGCTTTCAAGATAAAGAGAGAACTTGATGATGGGGCCGGGGATTCAGCTCAGTGGTGCTGCCACCTGCTTTACGAGCCCAAGGTCCTGAGTTCGATCCCCGGTCCCCCCCCCAAAAAAAGGAGAGAACTTGATGGATAGAATGGCTAGAGTTTCACTCCAACTATCTACTTTAAGATCTTATATGGAATTAGAATACTCCTAGTGCCAATAATCACTAATTAATCAGACTTGGAAGAATGGAAGCAACTCTATGATTATCTGGTTTAAATCCTCCTTTTGCAAATGGAATCTACAAGCTGAGACCAGTTCACAGATATCCTGACTCAATGTACAGTACATTTATTGCACAGCATCCTTTGTGAAAGTTTTGTGGGAGCATTTAAGATTAATCTAAGATGTCTATTCTTTATAACTTCTTAATAAGGCTTCCAGTTTCCTCAGGGGAATCCAACCTAGCTAGATTTTCATCTCTTGGTGGTGGACTTAGCTATAAAAGTTTTAGCTGAGGTTTTAATGGCCAGACTTAAGTAAATTTAACAGATACACCAGCGGGTGTTCCAATTACATACACCATTAGAGAGCATTATGGGAGGATTAAAATTTTTCCTATTAAAATAAGCTGTAGTCCATAGCAGCATAATTTACCAGCAGGAAAGATTCTCATGTCCAGAAAAGGGTTCATATAAAAAGGAAATTAAGGAAGAGAGAAGTCACAATACTCAACACAACCCAAAGGAAGCTTGGGGTTCTTTGGCTGTTCACCTCCCAACAGGTAAAATGCTTTGTATTTCTGGAACTATTACTGGTATTTCACTGCTTTTTTAGATTGCATGCTATTTTATGTCTACAGGGCATTGTATAACCCAAGGACTAAGGCCAGGTGGGATGGTGGCTAAAGCAGCTTTGTCCTGCACCGACCTTGTCATGCCAGCCTCAGAGATCCTGCCAGTGTTTGTCTGAGTTCACTTCTTCATCAAATGAAAATTAACCTGGAGGCACATTAATTAGAAGCTCCCTTGGCAAAGGAGAGTTTTGCTCCGGGACTCATTACTCTGAATGCTATTGTGTCTTCTTTCTCACAGATGGTCTAACCAGCAATAAAGCTTGAAAGACTACAGGGGAGATAACAAAATGTCATTAGTACCATACTGTCGCTGTCTTCATCAAGCGACTACAGTAGCCCGAGATGCCTAGGAGGGGCTACTTTCAGAGCAGATGGTATAGTTCTCTTTAACTCAGGAATGATAAAGCTGAAGACCGGTACAAAGCCAAAAAATGAATTTGGTAAGGGATGAATCATGGGTTTTGAGTAACCACGTAAATAATAAAAATGGAGTAACTTAGCACAAAAATGCTGCATATGTGGTTTAAAGTATTGATCTTTGTCCTCAATGGCCAGGAAATTCAAGGCAAACAAGCAAAATGTACTTCCATGTCTCTGTGTGAAAAACTATGGCTTCAGCTTCCATCTTGTGTAGGGTTAATGATACAGATCGTAGGCTTTTCATTAAGAGTTCTTCATTTTCACTCAACCCACTCTGGGTCTATTTTCATAGTTCATTAATGTTCCTTAGAATGGGGCCAATTCCCAAACTCCTGGCTGGATTTATCCTGTTGACTTTATGTGTGGAAAACATATCAGGCCAGCACTGGTCCTATGGCCTGCGTCCTGGAGGAAAGAGAAATGCTGAAACCTTGGTTGATTCTTTCCAAGAGGTAAGTTCTCTCAGCTTCACAATGAAGACTTACTTTATTTCATTCAGTTTAGCTATGAGAAATATTTAGTATGAGACTCAATGGCGTGGCTCTGTTCTCCGTCCTACATACACCAGGGGAGACAAGACTCTTACAAAGTAGAAATCCACTTCCTACACTGAATTCAGACAGGGACTAATGAAATAAAGAGCAGGATAAATGCCAGGAGGATATCCCAACAAGTACAGGATGCTTTGCTGTACTCTAAATGTGCGGACTTGCTCAAAGGATTAGAAACAATGAGGTGAAGCCAAGATCAGTAGTAGAAGTTGGTTTTTTGAGGCTGGAAAGAAAATTTTAGACCTTCTGTTTTTCTTTTTCTTTAAAAATATCTATGAAGGAATCAATCCTCAGCATCAGAAAAGAAAGAAAACAATCTGTGGAGTTATATCAGTAGCACATTTTCATAATGTGTAAGTAAGTATTTTCATCAGGATGTATGCTCTGTGGTTTCTTTTCATTGACAGAGGCAGTTAAAGAAGCTAGAGACTGCTGGAGGCCAGGAGCTAGCAAACTTCAGATGACAAAGATAGTGTAGTGGAAAACATGCTGGATTTAATTTCATGTCGATGAGATTACCAGCATTAACATGGGGTACTTGGTTTCTGTACTTTTCGTTATCTATAAAATATGACTTCTTAGGGGTGGGTGAAGATTAAAGGAGAAAAGCCATTTATTGTAGCCAATTAATCAAAAAGTAACACAGGGCTGAGATGGGGAAATTTAGACAGAGGAGCCTAATATCATTTCATTTTTATTGGAAATTTCTTTTTGGAGAAATAATAAAGAAGCTCCAGGATCCAAATCTCATTGAATGATGATAGTGAAAGGTATGAAACGAAAACCAACCCTATTCATCCTTATGGGCTCTTCAGTTTTGTGTACTGTTCTTTCATGGGGTTCAAAGCGCTTCACTCTCATCATCTCTAAGAAGAGGAGAACATGATCTATTTTTATTGTCCCCAACATCTCCAGCCCCCACCCCATGCTGCCCAAAATGCCTGATGGCGGATCTGTGTCCTTACCAGTCTGCATCTCAACCCTGCCGCCTTCCCCGCCTTCCGGTCAGCCCTACAACCTCTGGGCCTCATTCTCCACAATTTTTGTTGGCAAAGGAAAATATCATTTTCTTTCTTTACCTCCACCTCCAAGAATCGCACTCTTTTTCTTCAGATAGCCAAAGAGATCGATCAGCTGGCAGAACCCCAGCACTCCGAATGCGCGCTCCACCAGGCTCCCTCTCCCCTCAGCGACCTGAGAGGGGCTCTGGTGAGTGAGGGCATCGTGATACAGAGCTGGGAGGGGAGGGCTCCTGGGGACCGCTGCCACCCCACCTTTCTGACTGCCTTGAAAGCAAGACTTTCCCACTCACTGCTTAAACAGCACTAGTGGCTGGAAACGTTTTGTTCAATTGAATTGAAATCTCTAGAATCTTTATCTGCTAATCTGGCTCCAGATTAGCTGATCATTTGAGATGACCAACAAAACCAATGTCTTCCTACTGACATATCTAACTTTTCAAGCGTACTCGTTTATGGAACTCTCTCCGCCGCTCTCCTCTAGGCTGATGCACATCTCTCCCCTCGATCCATCAATTGTTCTATGACATGTTTTTTCAGGGAAATATAGAAACCGGGAATGGTCTAGATGTGTTCTTTCCCCCTTTGGATTACAAACTTCCAAACTCATAAACATAATTCAGAGCCACAGACTTGAGTTTTAGTGTTCTCTTCAGACCAATTTCCCACTAAAAATGGAACCTACTAATCTAATATAGGTGTTTGATGAAACAGATATAAACTTATAATTTTCTCCAGTGACTTCAACTTCCACATCCACAGGATAAAGAAAAAGGGGGGGTGGGGGAGACATCTTTATTTCCTTCCATTTTTAAATTTTGCTTACTGCCTGATAAAAATAATAGGCAGTGAAATTTCCCAAATATGACATTATGAAGGAATAGAGGCAGACAAGTTTAATTACAAACTAATTGCTCAGATCAGCTCTTTCTTTCATCTCTGTCCACACATCTTATTAACGTAGGGACCAGGGATTTAGCTCAGTGGTTTTGCTGCCTGTGCAAGTGCAAGGACCTGAGTTCAATCCCAGGTACCCCCCCCAAAAATTATTAATGTAGATTTTATTAGGCAGCTTAAAAAGACACAATCTACTATACCTCCCTAGCACTTTCTAGTGCATGGTAGCAAGTGGACCTCTCTCTCCTAGATCCATGTTTTAGAAATGAAAATATAAAAAATGTAATGAAATTTAGCCAGTCAAGTCAACTTTGATAAATTTGTTACTTATATGTTTTTCAGGAAAGTCTGATTGAAGAGGAAACTGGGCAGAAAAAGATTTAGATCCATTGGGCCAGAAGGATCAACAACACTGATGTGTGACACTGACATTGAAATTTGTGGCCCATAAAATATCTGTCAATGGTGTGGATCTCAGAAATTCTTTCATCAATATGCACGTATTTCATAATAAAGTTCTGTGCCGTGAATGCAGTGATATAAATGTGAAGTCTTTAACTGAGCGGAAGGACAATGGAAGCCCCCCCAAGGGAGTCCCTCCTCCCCTGTGGACAGGTGGCAGAGGGGAAGGAAGGGAGATGACGTGCATGTCTTCTGTTGACTAATGGGATGGGTCTTGAGGCTCCGTCCTTGCCCTGCATCCCCAAGGAGGGGAAAGAGACCCAGGCCAGGAAGAGTGATTCAGCTAATTACTACGGTAGTGCAGCTTCATCTTTGATCACTCTGCAGAAGTGAGGAGGGAGCTAGCGTCAAGGCTTCTTCCCACTTGGAAAGAAGTTTCTTCCCTAGGTTGTCCCCGCCCTCTTTGAAGCCAGCTGGACACCCAGTGAGGCCCAGGGGAGGGAGTGTCCTGCAGATTCTGGGTCCCGTCATCCTGACTCCATATGCTGTCTGAGTCGGGCACTTTGAGATTTGAGTCGTAGTCCATTTTCTCCTGCTGTCGCAAAATATTCATGATCACATACTTTATAAGGAAAAGAGGTTTATTTTATCATAATACGGGGAGAGCACGTGCCAAGTGAGGCCCGCGTTTGGCCCAACTTACAGTAACCCACCCTCATGGAAATTAAGCCAGTTCCACAAGACCAACTCCACTTCTGTGAGACAGGCATTGATCCCTGCCACCCTGACCGAAGGACCTCCAAGTTGCTTAACGTTTGCACCACCTCAACACCCTAGGTTGGGGACCAAGCTTCCAGCAAATGAGCCTTGGGGGTGTAACGCATCCAAACCACAGCGGGGACCAAGGTCTAGAAGTGGTAATGTTCACCTGCCTGATCTTTTTGGCATTTCATGTGAGAAAGGAAGGGGTAGACGGTCCACTGGCGATTAAGACCCTGGTGTGTCCACGGCCCTTGGCCAAACAGCGTCACCACTGTCCCTCTCCATGAAGACCAGAGTTAGGACGTGTACACAAGTAGTCTCACTGGCAATAGATGGAAAACAGACACTACTGTCCTCCTTACTTTAAAGCAAGGGAATTGAGACTCAGCTGAGGAACCTACTCTACTGTCTGCTTCCACCCACTGGGCTGCCCTGGGACACACAGCCAATGAGACTGCATCCCTGGAAGCTGGGTTAAATGGAGCTCAAACAGGATACGGGCTCATGGGTCAACTTAGTTTTATTGGGGACCAGTTCGTGAGGTTCCAGACACTGCGACACCAATATTCTCACTTATCCTCACAACTTCCAGGTGGGTATGAGACTTCTGGGAAAACTTTTCAGATAATGTCTAAGCCTTAGTTGACATGGGATAGTTTTAGTCATTTTCCTCTTTGAATCAGACAAATGAAACCACGTCACCCCCACCGCCCTACCCTTCCAAGCCAGAAAGTGGGGGGGTGCTGTGCTAGGAAATTTGAGTAGGGGTTAGAAACATCTCCCCATCATGGGGCAGGAAACTGTCCTGTTCTAATATACATACTTGCTACTGGACAATAACACATTTAAGTATCTGCATTTGGAGAATCTCGAACACTGAATTAACTTCTTTACTCCCACTTTAATAAAACTAGGCCATGGTGCCATCCACAGTCTGCTTGTGGAACAAAAGATAAACGGTATCATTTCATTAATCCATGCGTAGGAGTCAGGAGGATAGACTTTCATTTGTCAAACACTCTGTAATTATTTATTTTTATAAAAACAATATAACTTACAATCTTTACATCAATGAACACATTTTCAGAGAGACAACAGATCCACTTAATCTACACATCTCACTGGGAGCATCAGGTGTCCTGGGTCACTTTTATCTGCAGCGGTTTCTTTGGGCCTGGGCTTCTCTGAATGGGATTAAAAAGATGCTCAGCAGGCAGCCTGATGCCTGTGTCACAGGCTTATGGTGGCATCTGGTGGTTTGCCACATATGTAGGTGAGCATGTTGGGCACACTTGATTTGCAAATGACCCAGATAACCAAGGGGAAGGAGATTAGAGAAAATGGTGCCTTTACTAAAATGTTAAACATTTCCCTGAATCTGAAATGTCATCAATGTAACTGGAAGAGGGAGTGGAAAAAAGAGGGGGAGAGGAAGGAAGAGGGGGAGGGGGAGGGGACAGGGAGGAGGGGGGAGGGAGAGGGGAAGGAGGAGGAGGAGAGGAAGGAGTCTGCAGCCTTTCAAAATAAAGGATGGGGAAACTCATCAAATGATGCATTTCATGAGGTAAGATCTCCAATGGCTGTGGCTTTAAATGATCCTGTAGCAAAAAGAATGGCTTGAAAACAGATCAACATTTTAGCAAAAGTTTTAGAAGCTGTAGCATCCTAGGAGTCTGGGGAAAAGCTGAGAACCCCTGCATGGGATCAGCACTCAGAGATGCAGACAAAGGAAGCAGCTCTGAAGGAGGATTTCTCACCACAGACCCTAGACGCCAAGATTCCCCAGGTGGAGACATTCATTCAGGGCCCAAGTCACCTTTATTTTAAACAGGTGTTTGGGTGATTCTTATGCACATAGGAAGTGCAGCATTATTGCTTCTCAAAGGTAACACATTACAGATGTTTTAAAGCACTGGGACACTCTTCAAATACATACCCACACACACCAAGCCCAGGGCTACACAGGGATGTTACTCTGCCTGAGTGCAGCTGGCCACTCCCTCTCCAACCTGACCCACACCAGCAGGGATTTTAGCAAACACCTTCACCACCAATTTTCTAAAGCTGCATTTCCTCCAAGGTAGCGATTTAACTTTCGTCTAACATTGAAATAAATGAGGGGATGTGGAAGAATGATGACGTGTGGGGGTCACTGGCCCCTCAGAACTTATGATGGGACGGGGTTAGGGTGTGCTCTCTCCCCAGGTGACATTAATGTTCAGCCAACATTGGGAAAAGCTCCTAGCCTTTCTGCACTGAGTTATTAGATACTAACTTCTTCATATCTTTCTTTACCTCTGCCCTCATGAGCTACAGTGAGGAAAGAAAGAACATATCCATCCACTAGTTACCCAGAAGCTGTCAGCTCAGACACCAAAGGCATCGATAGGGGGTTGGAAAGAACCAGAGGGTTTGCAGTTTTTATTACTTCCAGGGAAAGATGGTGACTCAGGACCTGGCAGTACAAGTTTCAACCAGCAGGATTTGTACTGAAATGAGTCAGAGGGGCCCTGGGTGTGCTAGGTCTGGAGGGAGGTATCAAGAAGGAAAACGTCTAAGGTTCATGATTTCACTCCATCAATATAACAGGAATAACAAACTAAACACATAAGTTTTAAAATACAGTTCCATTTTTAATTTAAAAAATAAATAACAGCAAATCTGAATAAAACTCATCTACTTCAATGCACATCTTCCTAACTGGTCATTTTTGAAACCCAACTAGTTACAAAATCATGGTATTATGGATAAAGGCTGAACAACTCCAAAAGATGACTGAACAGGTGAGTCTGGCAGCATATGTGAGAGACCAGCTTTGGCTGGATCTGAAGAATCAGTATGGTGGGCCGAGGATTTAGCTCAGTGGCACCGCACCTGCCTTGCAAGTGCAAGGTCTTGAGTTCGATCCCCAGTAACCGCCCCCCCCCCCCAAACGAACCAGTGTGGAGCCCTTAACCTGAGGGAAAACATGTTCCTTCGGAGATCAGAACTGATGCTGCAACTCTGAGCCCACTGGAGGAGAAACCTCACTTTTCCTAATTTAAGTAACAGTCTTAGAGCAGAATGAAAGTTTCCAAGGAAGTAATGTTTATGATCTTCCTAAATCACACAGAAAAGGGAGGCACAATTATTAAAATGCACCGGAAGTCTAGACGTGGTAGGCTGGGCTGCTGAGATCTGAAGACTGCTTGGGTCTGAATGACACTTACAGGTTGCTGCAGACAATCACGCTAACTTAGGTCAATATTGTAAAAAAATGTGCTAGACTCATTATTACAATATTCACAAACCTTTTGATCTTAACTGTCAAGGTATGGGAGGGTCAAAGCACCAATTTAGGATTAAAAAAATGGGCAGTCCAGTTCACGAACCTGAAAGCCTTTGTACAGTTTTCTCGTGACTCACTTTCTCTTTTGGTTCACTTAGAAGCAAGAACTGAAAGGACTAAAAATCATGCAGCCTCAAATATATAATTAAGGATGAGGGAACAGGGTCACAGAGTGACTAAGAATTCACTTGCTAAAAGGTACAACATCTTTACAATCTTAATTTGCATTGATGGTGGGATTTTTTCTCCCCTCTTCACCATACCTGAGAAGTTTTAGGGAGGAAGGCACAAATCTCAAAGGACTTTCCAAATGCCTTACACGGGGCCTTGGGCACTTGGGCACCTTCAGGTGTGCTAGATAAAGTCATGTCTGTGTCTGAGAGGTGCTGACCTGCGTGTCTAGCAATCTGAAGACCCATCCACCCACACGCCTGAAGTATGTGCGCTTTATATAAATTGTGTCTCAATTTTAAAATAAGCCACACCCTCTCTGGAGCCAACTAGGGAAAGACACTTGCGTTTTGAAAGAGCTAGTGAATGCAGGTTGTTATCTCAAGTCCTGCTCAAATCTTGGTTTATCTTACGGATGTGCAATGTGCTGTGTTGTTAATGGATCGCCCTGGTGGGAGAAAATGACTGAGTCTGGAGTCAAGGGTGAAGGCTGAGACGAGGGAAAAGATTCCTCCTGTAGTCTTTCTTAGGGTCCGTTTTCACTTAACGTCCCAACTCTGCAATCCCACCACCCACCTCAGTGAGTACCAGTATCCTTGTACGCTGGGATGTTTGCACTGAACATGTTCCCCTGCCACATCCCGAAGGGCTAGTACTAGGGCTGGCATCTGACCTCCATAAAAACTTCATGCATGTTGAATGAAACAATTGAATAAATATCCCAAAGCAAGACAAGTCATCAGGTCATAGGCAGAGTGAGGGGAAAAAAAAAAGAATAAAGACCACCACAAAGCAACCAACCATAGCCAATATTCACGAAGGCTGTGACATTTTGGGAGATAATTCAATGTCTTTCAATATTCCAGAGATCTTAGCAAGAAAAAATAGAAACTTTTGTCTTCCTGTTTCTCATCTAGTCTATACTTAATGTAGTCATAAGGAACTTCTTTGCAGTCTCCTCTTTGACTTCAGGGTGGACATTATATATGTATTTTTATCAAATACGACTCTTTCCTACTACATAAATTCCCAAGGAAATGAACCTTCCTGTGTCCTCTATAATCTGATATCCAAAACATTACCTGGAATCTGCTGTGTTCAGACTGTTGAGAGCTATTGTTTTCATTAACATGGCAAGGGCAGCAGATGGAAAAACAGATCCTGTTACAAAAGGAATGTAGTGAGGCACTGATGGATCCGAACTCCCAGCCTCTGCTGAAAGACCAGACTGAGGGCTCACTTATACTGCGCTGGGAGCATAGGCAGGAGGTTTGGGATTTCTATTTGCCCTATTTATATTTTTCCATTTTAATGGCAGTCTGACAAGTAGAGTGAGACAAATCCCTTCCGGCCAGCCTATTAGGTGACTTTTCAGAGGTAGTCCTAGGCACCATGGAGGTCTTCTTAACTTTTCTCTGCAGGGAAATTCCTTCCACTTCAAATCCTCTTCAATTCCTATTAGTACTCTCTCTGGTTACAAATAACTATATAAAAGACAGCATGCTCTGAGAAGGACTGTATGTCCGGAACCAACCCACACTCACATCCCAAATCACCTTGAATTAAAATAAAGAGCTCAAGGGCTGGGGATTTAGCTCAGTGGTTCTGGCGCCTGCCTCACAAGTGCAACGTCCCAAGTTTGATCCCTGGTACCAAAAAAAAAAAAAAAAATTAAATAAAAATAAAATAAAGAATATCAACAATGCCCTTAGCGAGTTCTGGATCTCACTCAGGCCTAGCAGAGAAAGAAAGGGCCGTGGTGTGAGGGCTCCTCCTTCACATTCTCCAGCCCACCAGAACCCCACAGCAGCCGGAGTGGAAGCTACCGTCCTCATTTGGAAAGTGAGAAAAGGAATGCTCAAAGAACTTCAGATGCTTGGAGAGAGTTTGCAAAGTTAACAGGTGATGTGGCTGGGACTTGAAACCAAACAGGTTCCATTCCGAAGTCCATGTTTTTGGGTTTTTTTCCCCATGATCACAGTGTAGGTTTTCCCAGGCAGGAGAAAGAATAAAGATTTCTGTGCCATTTCTAGAATATGCATAGTAATTTCGTGAGGAATGCAATGGACTTTGCTCAGAGGCTGCTGCTTCCTCCACCTCCGTTCTTCCTTGCGATGAACGGGTGTGCGGCTCCTGACAGGGGTCGGGGAGAAACGAGGAATGCAAACAGGCAGGCAGGCAGGCAGGCAGGCAGGCAAGTGCAGGGCCTCCCAGCTGCAACCGCTGCTTTCTTTGTTCTCTTAACTTTGGAGAAAAGGATTCTGGGCAAGGTCAGGGAGACTGCTGGAGGGGTCCCCTTATTTGGACATTGACATCAACACCTAAGGACTATAAAAATATTGGGAGCCTTCCCAATGTTGTTTCACCTAGGGTTAGGCATTGATGATGCTGTCAGAGATGTCCTCTAGATCTAGGCATTTTCTGGGTATAGCCCGTTAGCAAGCTGAGCTATGAGTAAAAATCTGTACTACCACTTTCTTCGTGTAGCCCCAGTTTCCTTATCTACAACATGGAGGGTTTTTTCCATGACCTTGAAAACACTTCTAGCTCAATACGTCTGTAACTTCATGTGACTACTGTTGAGTATGTATTATCTGGTCATCCAAAACACTCCACTTATTCTTCTGAAAGGAGTACTGACATTAGTACCATTAGCAAATTAAAGCCAGGATCAAGAGGAATAAATAATCAAGGCGAAATATTGCACTGTATTCTCCAGGGTAAAATCAGGTAGCAGACAGAGGCTACTGGCTGGGCCATCTGAATGGGATCTGGACAAAATGCTGTTGGCCGTGGATTCCTAGGTCTCTTACAGCCGGGCACTTGAGCTCAGAGGAGGGACAGGACAAGACACTGTGCAAAGGAGCCCTAAGGGGTTTGTGCCGTGCAGGCCAATGGTCAGGAGTGCGGCCCAATGTGAGTCCATCATTTTTCAGTGGTTATTTGCTATTTATGCCTGAAAGCAGTAAATTTCCATTAAAAATGTATTTTTGCCTCAAAAGAGACACAGCAGACATGAGAGAGAGGACCGTGTGGGCTCCCAGAGAGGACTTGGTGTCCATCCTTCCCAAGAGGGTGGATGGGACAGGGACGCACGTGTAAGAGGAGCAACGAAGTCTCGAGTGCAGCTTTTCAGAAGCAAAGCAAGAAGCGCATCCAGGAGCAGACTTCCGGGGTGGCAGAAGGACAGGTGCATGTGCCAGTGACTGCGGCAGAGGCTGAAAGGTAATCACGGTGAAGGAGAACGACCCTTTGAAAAATGCACAGGAAACGGCCAGTTCCGGGATGCCTCATGGGCTGAGCGGGCCGCATAGACCCAGACATTCATGAAAGAGAAGCTTCCAAAAGAACAAACCCAGTTTTAAGCTAGTAAACATCACCCCACGTCAGGAAAGGCAGCCGGCAGGGAGCGCTGGGTCCCGAGGACACAGCCTGGGGAGACCGGGTTTCAGGCAGCAGCTGTCCAAGGCACTCGGAGTTGCAGAGCAAGGGGAAAATTCTCACTGGGATCCAAGCTCAGAAGAAACGATGCCAGACTTCCGGGCCTTTGGAGGGGGTGGGGGTGGGGCTTTGGCTTCTCTTCGTATAGGCAAGGGGGGCGCGACCTGGGGAGCAGACACGTGCAATCAGAAACGATTCTCCTCTCTTTCCCCAGTTGTCCCTCCTCCTCCCAACTTCCCACTTTCTGCTCTAGCTTTGACTCGATCTGCATTTATCTATGCAGACCTTTGCAAGGTGAAGAGGGAAATGAGCCCCAGGAGTCCTCCTTGTCCCCTTGAGCTGAACATATCCTCTCCCTCTTCCTCTCTCTCCCACTCCCGTATTCTCAACACGGGTACCCGGCATATACCCAGGAGGCACTCAGTACATATTTGCTGAATGAAGGAATGAGCCCACTCCAGAACAACTGTCTCTCATTCAGAAGTGACTCTTCAGTGTGAATTAGAACTCACTCACGTCACTACCTGTCCCCAGCTGGAGGGGCAGAGTGCTGTTCTGCCTCCAGCGGTTTGCAAAGGTCTGCCTGCATCTTTTCTTCCCGTCTCTTTGGGGAAAGAACCAAGGATCCCTACAGTAACAAATGTGTAGGAAAACCTGTCTTCTCAAGAGCTCGGAGAACATGCTATAGTCTCCTCAAATATGCTCTGTGGCCCACTCCCCACGGGGGTTCCCTACCTCATTGGAGTTCCGCTGGCTGCTCTCATAGGGCTTGCTTTTGGGGGGAGGTGGAGGTGGAACAGAAGCCACCAGCTCATCTGTCTGCAAAGACGGGGAGCCTGGGAATGACACAAAGAAAATGGAGGTGGACAGAAGTATTTATCAATACTTCTCAGAGGAACCCCTAAAGGAGCCTGGCCAATCAAGCTTCTAATGCATATTAGATGGATTTTAGGGACAAAATGAAGATGGTTACTCAACCCTCACAATAAAGACAGCATACACTTCCCGGAAGGCTTCACAAGAAATTCTAAAGTAAAAATTCCATGCTCTGTTCAGAGTTTACTATTAAGCTGCAGATGCGAACATTTCTGGAACTTAACGGTATTACTGTGCTGTCTGATACATCCCAAGTGCTCCAGAAGACCTTATCTAATTAAGTCTAACTCCTGCTTAATGACTGTCTCCCATTTGGCAATGGTAGATTTATCCTGCCATGATGCTTCTGGGCTTTATAGGCAACTTGTAGTTTTTCCTAAGTGTTGCGTGTCGCTAGTTTTTCAAGCCAGACTGCAAGAAGTACTTGGAATGAACCTATCTCTTGTTGGTGAACAGGTCTAACTCCTCAGTAACTAGTTAGGTCACAAGGTACTCGTTTTCTGTATGGTTCTACTCTGACCCTCTCTCATTTATACCTTTGCAATTGGATAAAGGCTACTTAGAACCTTTGGATCACTATTCAGAAAAATTTAATGATCTTGGCAGCCCAGGGAGCCGCACCAAAATCCAGGCTCTATCAGTGGACACGGAACTGAATCAACCTCACAATAGTCCCATATTATTTTTGACTGGCTTGATTAAAAATTGCCCAGATTCATAAACATGCTCCCTTCCTTAAGAAAATGAATATAAGAGGTATCTGAACTTACTTAAGGTCCTGGTCGCCTTAGGTGTGAGTGGAGGAGGGCTCAGGGGAGTGGACTGAGCCGGCGCAGAGCTGTGGAACGGTGTTAAGCGAGTGTCCACCAGCTGGAGACTCTTGGGCCTTTGGATCTTTTTGGCTGGGCTCTAGCATCAAGGAGGAAAACACAGTGAGCGGAACTGGGAAAAAGGCTTAATTCCAGGAACCATTTTCAAGGCTCCACAATGGCATATGCTGAGGACCAGGGCAGAGACACTAACTTGAGAACCACGAGGCCACAGGGTCTTTCCTAGCTGGCTGCTGGTCTTTATTTTGACCACAACTGGGCATCACTCAGGTTAGCAATGAGCCACCTTGATTCTCAGGGAAAGCTAGTCTTACTACCCTTAACAACTTGCTGTGGCTTCTGGAAGAAGAAGAACTCTTTTTTTAAAGATAAAAGAAGAGAAATGACAGTGTTTTGGCTGACTCACAGAACACAGTGGCAAGAACCACAACTCCAACCAAATGCACACACTGCATTGTGGGTATGAGACCTTCAGCCATATTGATTTAGAGCCTGATGCTCTCCACCCCCATCTGTGACTGACACTACAGCATGGGGAAGCATTTGGCCTGAGGGCCAGCCGTGCGAATCTCCAGGGCTTTCTGTTTCTTTCCATTGACTTTATTCCTTACCGTCAGGTCAGGGTCTGGAGCCTTCTCTGAAATGAGCTGGGACTTGCTCAGACTCCAGTCTTTCCTCTTGAACTTGGCAGTCCGGCTCTCGCCATCCTCTCTGAGGGACAGGTCTTCAACTCTGGCACCTGATGAAGCCCTGAGCTCAAAAAGCGGCTCCAGGACTGACCTATCCGCCAGGAAAAGGGACACAAATCACAAAGGACTGATTCCCCAACAGTTAGGATGCACCCCGAAATTAGAAGGGTCACGGCTCCTCAACCCCATCTCTACCCACAACTTCCTCTCTTATATTCTTCACCTAAGGTGCAGGAGTATGTCTTTAAGGAATAAAAAAAAGAAATCACAGAAAACACAAATACAGGAATTGGGTATTGCTTAATGTCTGGAAATTCTAATGATTAAAAATAACACATTCACATATTGCATATGGCATTACATATTGGTACTTACTATCAAGAATTGTAAAACATTCGTCCCTTGACAAGGTAATGTATGATGTCTAAGAATTCATACTAAATAAAAATTGAAACTACCATGTACAAACATCTGTTATAATTTTTATGAAAATACATTTTATATTGATTTGAGATATTGCATTAAAAATTTTTTTGATATTGCATTAAAATTTAAATGAATGTTTATGATTATTTTGAAATCATGGTACAGTTTAAATATTTTACAGTAGGATTAATAATGACATGCTGTATAATGCAATGGTATACTGCCATAAAAATAATAAATAAAAACTGATATTAAGAAAGAGTATATAACTATTTGGGAAAAACTTATAAAGACGAGGAAAAACAAAGTGCGGAACTATGCCTAGGTTATAGTTGGAACTATGTAAAGATATCTATGTCAGTGGAAAAGGATGTATAAATAAAATAGGAAATAATAAATATCTGATTTCCAGGTAAGGTACCATGCAAGCAGGTTATTTAAATGACATAATAATGCGGAATTAAAAATTTACAAAAAGTTAGCTGATGACTTATATTCAACACCATCTTAAATACTTGATGTACAAATACTCATCATTTATATTAAATTAAGCTGTAGTCCACAAAATGGTGTATGTAGTGCTTTGCCACGTGGTTACATGTATATATACACTTTTATTTGTATTAATAACTACACCTTAACAGTGGTTGTCTGAGTGACAAAGTATAAAGCATTTTTCTTTTATGTTTTTAGTACTTTAAATGATTTCTATATGAACATATATTAATTTTGTAACTGTTTGAAAGTAATAACCTCACATAGAAAAGAGTGCAAAATAATTCTTTTTAAATGTTAAATTTGAACATAATGGAAAGGCAGTCCATATTTTTGGCAAGGAAGTTTCAACATTAAAAACCCATCAATTTTCCTAAAGTTAGCCCATAAATTTAGCATGATCTCAACAAAAACAGTAATAAGATTCTACACAAGTTAATACAAAAGTGGAAAATAAGCAAAACTAGTCAGATAATTCCTGACAAGGAATATGAAAAATTAAAAATGATTTAAATTTATATTAATTCAAACTGCAAAATACTAGCACACGAACAGACAGGAACATAAAAAATTAGGAGAAAAAAAGTCCACACACAAACACTAAATACATAAATTTGATTTGCGATAAGACTGACATTTCCAGTTAGCAGATTAAAAGATAGTTTGTTCACTGGAAGAGGACGAGAAGTGGGTAACCATTTGGAAAAGAAAATGGTTGACTCCGTATCTCACAGCTAAGATTAGAATAAATTCCAAAGAATCAACAGGTTTAATTGTGATAGAGAAACTCTAAAAGTTGATGAAAAAACCAGTGGGGAAGTCCTTTGTGCCATAAAATCCAGAAGTCAAAAAATAAAATACTGACTTATTTGACTATATTAAAAGGCAGCACAACTCAATAAAAAATTAGAAAAAAAAAATAAAGTCAAAATACTAAGGAGAAATTCATATCGCAAAGGACCCACAATCTAACAGAAAAACAGACACAAAGTATTTGACCTCAGTTCACAGAAAATACAAGTAATTATTAATGAATAAAAAGATCTTCAACTTCACACAGAAAAATACCTATACAAGAAAATACTTTACATAACAACAGAAACAAAAACAACGTTTCTCATCTATCAGATTGACCCAAATTGACAAGACTGCTAAAACGCTTTGGTGGCAAGGGCCAGCATAACCGGGGGGAACTAGTCACATCTTTTCAGGGAAGTCTGTTTAAGAATGATTTTCAATGGGCTGGGGATTTAGCTCAGTGGTTTTGCAGCCTGTTGTGCAAGCTCAAGGACCCGAGTTCGATCCCCAGTACCAAAAAAAAAAAAGATTTTCAAAATTGCAAATATTCATCTTTGATGGGCAATTTCATTCTTAGGGCTTTTCTCACAGGAAGTACTTGGGTTCTAGGGCAGATATGGCTAGGAGATTGGAGGCTCAGTCTCCAGGGAAGAGGTCCAGGCAGGTGGCGACGCAGTGGAGGTCTCTAGATCCCGGGGAGCACAGCTATCAAAGGACAGAGCCTGGCCGGTCCCTGTCTTTCTATTCCTACCTTACCACGTGACCCTTTTTCCACATGATCCGCCACTGTCTGCCATGGGCCTCCACCAGAGCCTGCCTTCTGCTGTGTGCACTTGCAGATTCCAAACCCAGGAGCTAAGTGAACCCCTTTTCTTTAGAAAGCTGCTTGCCTCTGGTATTTCACTGTAGTGATGAAAAGCTGACTAACGAACTTATATACATGGAAAAGGAGTTTAATATTCACTGTCACACTGCAGCAATAGGAAAAGATGGAAATTAATCAGCCAAATGTCCATCATTTGGCCACTGGTGGACTGTATCCTGGTACAGACATATGAGATGCCTGCAGCTACAGAAAGCGTAAGAGGAGGCTCCTTGTGTTCTGAAATTGCAACGATTTTCTAGATATATTACATGAATAAAGCAAGGAAAAGAGAATGTTGTTTTTGTGTTAAAAAAGTACAGGCAGCTAAGCATAGCAGCACATGCCTGTAATCTCAGTTTCTTAGAAGGCCGAGGCAAGAGGATTGCCAAATTCAGAGTCAGCCTGAGCAGCTTAGTGAGACTCTATCTCAAACTGAAAAATAAAAAGGGGTAGGGATGTAGCTCAGTGACAGAGTGCTTCTGGGTTTGATCCCCAATTACGACACCCCCCCCCCCACATAAGAAGTATGAGAAAGAACATGCACTTGGGCATTGCTGTATTCCCTACAAAAAGATGCTAGAAAGTCACTGGTATCTGCAGGTCACAACAGCCATCTCCAGAGAGTGGTGTTGTGGCCGAGAGCCAGGGACTGAAGGGAGATTCATGCTATGTGAGCGTATTACCAATTCATAAAAAAAGGCATTCTTACAAACTGAAATGACCCAGAGCCCAACACCTGTGTGCTCTGAATTAGTCTCCTCAGAGGACCCAAGTGCCCACATGGACCAAGACTCATGCAGGGAACCAAAGACAAGCAATATGGTCTCACCCCATCCCCAGGTGAGTAAAGACCCCAGCTTACCCGTCAGATCCTGGCCTGGAAGGAGCATTATCAGAGGAGTTGGAAGAGGTGGAAAGCACCGAGGAGGTCACCGAGGTGACGGACAGCCTCCGCAGAGTAGAGGACATAATGTAGGGCAGCACAAGGGATCCCGTGCGGCTCTGCTTCTTCTCTGTAAAGTTGGTTGGCTGAAAAACCCGTGAGCCCTCAGGGTTAGCTGCTGGGAACTCAGCCCGAGCGATCTGGTGCGCACACACTGTTTTTATTTTTTTAATGGAATACTGGCCTAGGAAGATTTGTAGACCTGTAGCTGAACTTGGAGAATCTGTTGATGCACTTTCATGAGAAACGTCGCCAGGGGGCTTACCCATGGGACACCATATTCAATTCACTTGCTCATATTGGCCTGGCTCTGATAATGACTACATTTAGTGGGGCACAGGCTTATTCCTCTGTGTGGAACTTGTGTGTAAAAGACAACAACTTGACAATGTTCGGGGAGGTTTTTAGATGCCACTATCCAATATCATGCTCTCTGCTGTCTGCCTATATTTTCATGCTGTACCCAAACTATTCTGACTCGCCTGCAGTCTGAAAACCTGATCAATGTCAAGAAGCTCAGAACTAGCAGCAGGCGAAGAGCCAAATGTGTAGGAAGAAACCAGGACTGAGCACTTGGACGACCGAAAGAGATGGTCAAAAAGATCCTCGGGAGGGAACTGTGGAGGAGATGGGTGCAGAGCTTTGATCTGAAGAAAGAATTTGAAAAACAGAGGCTCAAGAGTTAAGATTGTGAAAGAAGACAGGGCAACCTCAAAGACCAAAGAGCAGAGTAACGAATGAGAAACAATAATCTAATCACCTGTTGGGGAGAATGGTTAGCAAACGCATCCCTCACCCAAACTCCTCAGGAAGAGAAAAGAGAATTACAGCTGCAGAATGTGTTAAGACTGGCAAAGAAATCATGAAATTGGCTGTATTCATTGTAAAATGTAGTTTACAACTATTTTCCCCTTTAAAGGTGTGAAGGCTGTAAACTTATCAAAATAGAAAAGATTCGGAAAAACTGAAGTATAGCCATGGCCAGTGCCTGGGATTAAGAGAAACTCAACTGGAAGTCTTGTGATTCTCAAAGCGCTGTGCCCAGCCTTTAGGCTCAGTGTCGACCGGGAACTTGTTAGAAAGGCGAATACTGGGGTTCCACACAGATCTGTGGGGTCAGCAACCTGTGGATCAGTGCTGGCAATCCCTGTTTTCTCAAGCCCTACAGTAGTGGTGATAGCCATTCCCATTTGAGAACCTCCATCCAGCACAAGGATGGTTCAAGGTCATCAAAAGCAAAACATGTGCTCTGCTCCCTGCCCATATTTTCACGTCATACCCAAACTATTATGACTCATTTGGAGTCTGAAAACCTGATCAATATCACAGAAGAGAGCAGAAAAAACCTGGAGGGTTATTTAGACAAAGCCTACCAGTGTGATGACTCCATAGAGCTTTTCTACTTTCTCCTTGAGTTCCCGGAAGCACAAAGATAGCCGGTCATGTAGTGGCCTGAGCTGCTCTGTCAGCTTCTCCCCATGGATGCGGATCCCTTCTGTGAGCAGAGGCATCTAGAAGGAAGGGCATAAAAGGAATGAAGTATGTTTAGGAAGAGGAATGATTCAGATTTGGAGGCTGGGGAAGGGCTGGGGAAGGGCAGGGTTGGGGATGGATGGGTTAAGTGGGAGACAGTGCTATCAAATGAGAATTCATTTCTCAGTGGAGGGGGTGGGAACTGCAGGTGCTTCGGCCCATGACACAGAGAAATCTGCACACCAAGGATACAAGAAAGCCCTAAACTTGAGAAGAACTGATGAAGAAGGCCAATCCATCTGAGCTTGGCATTTCTGTGGATGGACACAGATTGGTTTTGGCCCCAGACTGAGTTTGATGGTTGCATTTTCTACCATTGTCCACTGAAACAGTGAGGAAGAAAATGAGCCCAACATCTGTCAGCTGGACACACAGGCCAGGAAAAAGGTTAAGGACCTTGATCTCAGCTCTAAGAAGGCACATTTCAACGCTGTGCAGCTCAAGTCAATGCCATTCTACAACCTCTTCGCCAAACAGACCTACATTGATAGGTTGTATTTCCATAGAGCTTAAAGGAAGATAGAAGGAAAGCAACCCAGAAAGTGGCAATGTAGACAGAAGCCCTGCAGAGCGTCTCAGAGCCAGGTGCTGTGGCTGCCCCTGGCCAGGTGTGGCCAGCTGTATGCCTTCCTGGCCACTCACCTGTAATGCTATCAGCCTCTTCAGCAGTTCTACCTTCTCCTGGTCCTCGGGATGCTCCTGTAGGTACCTTTCTGTAAAGAAAGCCTGAAAAGACACCAGACACAAGCACTGATTACAGCACATTCCTATCTGTGCCCTGGATCCTAACTGAGATCCAGGAAGCCTAGAGAGGGGAAAAATAACTTCTGATAAACCAAGAATGTCTAACTAGAAACTTATTCCTTTCCTGGGATGATGATCCCACAGTGGATAATTTTTTTCTTTTTAAAGTCTTGTTTGGTGATCTTTCCAAAATCAGACAAATTCCTTGCAAGAGTTCATTCTCAACAATCACCATACTCACACACTCACTAATCAATAATAATCACCAGCAAAGCAAAATATCACTCATTAAAAGAACAGTGTTCAGGCTGGGGATTTAGCTTAGTGGTTCCGCTGCCTGCCTTTTAAGTGCAAGGTCCCGAGTTCGAGCTCCAGTACCAAAAAAAAAAAAAGGTGTTCCCCCAAAATGAAGAAAAGACCAGAGAACAGAATCTAAAACTTAATAATTATATTAAATGTGTAGATATTATTAGGAAAAAAACCCAAACAAACATGTTAATAGCCAAAAGATGTGGCTGATAACTTTTGCTGCTCTTTCCCAACTTTAGCTGCATCACATTTTTCCCCAACAGTACATGAATGTGAGTATCTTTTCACTAATCACCTATTATTCAAAAGGCTATTTTGAAAACAAAACGAGATACAGACATGATGTTATGAGGATATCGCCGCGGGCAGGTTGCTTTCATTATTTCCTGTCAGCAGCATGTTTGTAATAAACATGGGCCACCAGCTAAGGCCTTGAATAGGGAAATACGCCCTAAACCTAACTCCTAAACACAGGCTGTACATAGGTGAGTAATTAAAGACAGGATTCATTAGGAAAGAGAGAGACATTTGCACTATACATGTCCAGCAGGAGTTACATATTTTCTCTCTGGACCTTAACCTTCATTTCTGAAGATGCTTTTTTGGGGGGCACTGGGGACTGAACCCAGGGCCTTTGCTCTAAGTTACAGCCCCAACCTCCCCCAACCTCAACCTTTTTTAAGATAAGTTCTCGATAATTTGTCCAGTCTGGAGTCAAACTTGCAATCCTCCTGCCCCAGCCTCCCAGAGTGCTGAGATGACAGGCAGATGCCACCACGCTTGGCTTAAATTCATTCTTTTCCTCTATTTCTGCAAATGCAGAACTCCACTCTATGAAACAGGCTGGAGTTATAAAAGCGATCGATCCATTTTACTTGGCAAACTGAATATGAACAAACTCTTGCGGGCGGAACTGTGTGCAGGAAGCATTAGTGGACATTAGCAAAGCACTCATTCAGGCCAGAACTGCAATTACAGGGAAGAGCGATATAAAGTGAACAGTAGTATTTACTTGGGTTTTCATCTATTTCTAACTTTCAAGTGCAAGGAGTTTCCATTTTTGAAAGTTAAAGCAATTTTCTGCTCAATGATAAAAGGCACTACAATTCCCAGAGCATTGCTTGAGTTGAGCAACCTCCAAGTAGAGCAAAGTGACTGTTACTGTCCAGCAGAGCTGTCCAGCAACAGAAAGTATAACTTAGGGTTTCCAGCCAAAGGTACTGAAACTTACGTCTTTATGTATCTTTGCAGTCTTGATCTCCCTTGATGGAAGGATGGATGGATGGAAGGATGCATGGATGGAAGGATGGATGGATGGATGGAAGGATG